GGGCCGGTGCTCGTTCCTCGGCCGAGGCTTTGTTCTCCTTCCCCGTGCCCCGGGTGCCGCTCTGCCTTCGGGGGGGTGGGGGACACGGCACGCGTTGCTCGGTGGTGCTCGTCGCTGTTCTCAAGGGAATTCATTACCCAGCGCGGTTATCGGATGCGCGAAGGAATCCATGCTTTAAGATGCTAATTATTCTCACGGTAATTGCTGCCTCGTCGACATCTGCCCATCTTGAGAGGCGCGGCGTAAAAATAGTTGGAGGAAAACATCGGCTGCCGCTTTGGTAGCGGCGTGCCCAGCAGCAGCGCACGCACGGAACGGGCCCAACTCTCCCGCTCGGAATCGCGGAGCCGCTCGGAAAGTTCTTTGTGTGCAGCAATTGCTGCCGAAGCGGCGAGAGGGGGGAGCGGAACGCCGCTCCCGGAGCCGGCTCGGCACCGGTTGGGTGCCTGGGGAGGGCTTGGCTGAGCGCGCCGTCGCCGCTGAAAGTTTTTCCATCCCCGAATGGCACCTTACGCCTGGCGAGGAGACCAGAACCGCGCCGCGGACCTTGTGCGGGGTGGAGCGTGGCACGGTTGCTGGTGCTGGGGGTAGGTGGTGAAGGCAGAGAGGACAAGCTGTCGGAGCTGCAAGGCAGAATTAATTTCTTCCAGGGATTTCCTAGTGACATCATTTATAATTATATGGCTTAATCCTCTAATCTACTGTAGTGCCTTCAGTTCGCACTGGGCCAAATCCGCCAAGTCCTGAGATGATTTCTGCTCCCGCCCACCTGACTGAATCATTGGGAGTTTTGCTTGTGTAAGCCGCTGATTTGGGGGGAATGGCCCGGTTACTTTAAATAGGGATTGAAAGCGACAGCAGTCAGGATCGGGCCCAAGCTTCGTGCGGCTCTCTAGTGAGAGCAGACAGGTTGATGGTTAATTTTTACTTCAGAAAGAAGTGGTATTTGTAGCTGCTTGTTCCACTGAAGAGAAGCAGCATAAAATACTAGATGCAAGCGCGGTCGATATGCCTGTGGTATCTTTCTGATAGACTGTGGGAGACCACAGGGGAAAAGGAGACTTGGTTATCATACCGAAGCTGCTGATTTGTTGTTTATGAATTATTAACTGGGCTTTTGAGTGCCTGCTGCAGTTTGAAGAGCCAGCACAGAAAAAGGACTAGGTATGTAAAGCAGTATATGTACTTGCTAAACAGTTGCTGTGACATAGAAATAGTCTCTGGTTTTGAAAGCATTTTAAAAGCTGGACGGGGACATGCTGAAGTTGTCACACATGATCCTTCACTGGCATAAATTGAAGCCTGTGGAGCTACAGTGATCTATACTTGTTGAGCCTTGGGTATTCAGGCTGGAATAAACAGCTTTAATACAGCAGTGGAGCTACAGTGATTTATGGGAGTGCCTGTACTGGCTAGATGTAGTTTCTGTCCTCACCCTGTTGATGTCTGTGGCAGAGCTTTCACTGACTTTAGTGAGGTCAAGATTTGTCTTACTGGACATAGTTTGTCCTTTCTGTTGAGCAAGTTTTAGTCCCTGCTCGACCTCCCTTCGTGTTAGTAGGTTTTTGCTGAGCTGAATGGATCTAACCCCTTTCAGGTGAGGAACAGCATAGTCTGTTCTCGGCAGGGACAGCAGACGCTGACTTTCCTGATAGGTAAGTTCACACAATTGACAGTGTGCTGCTTTTCTTCTGAATGAAAACCTTAGAAGAAATTAAAAGTCCTTTTTCTTTTCTTCTAAAACAATTTTTGCCGTAATTTTTTTTTTACCTAGGAGGGCTGCTCTCTGTATTTATGTGTGTGTTGGTCCCTGGAGTTTGTCAGTTGCAGCCCTTGCGCTGGAAGTGTTGCTGTAGGTTGGGAATCAATAGGTAGAGAAGTTCTCTGCCGTTGAACAGAGGCAGGTACGCTGAAGGAAAGGAGTCGCTGGTAGATGGTGGCGGTGGTGGGATGAGTATGTTTCCTCAGCAGCGTCTTGACTGTGTGCGAGCGGTTTGGTGCCAGAATTGCTGGCTGGCTTCTGGTGTTTCTTCCAAAAGGGGAAGGTGTTCTTGGTCCGTCAGCACACACAGTGTCCGTTGTGGTCAAAGATAGTACTAAAAGCTTGATGATGCTGCTGATTGTCTGGGAAGTTTTTACCTTTGGAGAAGTTCATCTGGGTTCATATTGTCTGATTTTAACTTTCTACAAAAAGGTACTGTGCCCACATCTTTATGAAAGCACTGTGTACGTAGACGCTTGGATATGTCAGCACTCTTGGAGCTGCAGTTCTGTCAGATGCCTCTAGATCTTAATTTTCCTTGTAGAGTAAGGTTACTGGAGACCCGCTAAAGCTGTCTTCTCAATATTTTTTACTACTCTGCCCCTTGTGCAGTAGTATCCTCTGCATTAGCACAACACGTTATTCCGACTGGTTTTAATACTTGAGTGAAGGGAAGGAGAAAGTGCTGTGGTACAGATGATTTATGAGTAGAATACGTCACTTCGTGTTCGTTCTGTACACCTCAGTAATTTCTTAAAGCCTTTGAAAGAATTAAACTAGAATATTTGCTGCTTAACTGATCCAGAAGCGCAGTCCTGGAATAAGAAATGAGTCAATTTAGACCTCAATGTGAAGTCCGCTCACTGGAAATCAATCTGGACGTGCTTTACGGGTAATGTCCATGCTCCATGGAAGTCAGTGGGACTTTCACCATTGACTTCAGCTGTGTCAGGATTTCATCCTTGAAGCCTGTTCCTGTTCATAACAATGTGAGTGAAAAATTTCATTAGGACAGTGCTTGGATCCCACAGGAGATATTTGACCTACGTCTTAGGCACAGATCTAATGCAATACTTACTGTTGAGAGACACCATGGTCAGGCTGGCCTCCTTCCATCCCCAGAAGGAGGAGATATGTTCAGAGAACTTGGTGTGCCATAACCCTCAAGTTGCCCTGAAATTTTGAACACGGCATCTTCAAACGGCTGGAGCGTGTGTGTCTTCTGTCAATCCCATCAAGTCTTTGCTAGCTCAAAGGATGCCCAGTCTTTTCCTGGGTATAAGCTGTTTCTAAATTTCAGGTTTGGATTTGTGCTTCTCCAGTAGGTGCTCCTGCAGACCAGAAGGTGCTACTGCTGATTCAGGTGAATGAACGTCTGCTGTTCGTAGGTAGGCTTTGGCACGCTTCGCAGGCACTGGCTGTGCTGAAATACGAAGCAATATCAGACAGTTTTGTGAGTCGCCCAGGGCACTGGGATTACAGGATGGCGTCCTTTGCCCCGCTGTCGTATCTCCTCCGGCGTCATTTTGTCCAGATTACGTCAGGCTATAAGCTGTGGGGCCTCATCTCTTAATCACAGCTAGGTATGAAATGTGAGAGGAATTTCCAGTCCTCACGTCTCCCTGGAAATCGCGTAGCCAATAGACGAGTGCTGCAAATCTCTTTTCATCTTCTTGCATAGGTGGTTATGCTTTTATTTATTTATTACTCTTTAGTCTTATGAAGATACTGATATGAAGATCAGTTTGAGTGTTTTAACTGGTGTGTAGTAAAAGCTGTGGAAAGGAAATAGTTTAATTGAAGGCATTGGAAAAGAATATCTTCTCTTTCCTGCAGCAGAGTTACTGCCTTATAAGTAATTACTGTATACAGAGTGTGTGTGAGTGTGAAGGTACGAGAAATGTCTGCTGATATTCTTCTCCATTCTTTTCATTACCTAATTTGCAATAAAAATTGATCTAACTCTGTGTGTCTCTCTCTCTGTGCCTCAAACAGCTGTAGGATTCGGAATGGATCCTGGTCTACAAATTGATATCATCACAGAACTGGATCTTGTGAATACCACCCTTGGGGTAACACAAGTGTCAGGACTACACAATACCAGCAAAGCATTTTTATTCCAAGGTAAGACAAACATCCTCAGTTCTCTTGCCTCACTTTGGTCTGCATGAGCTTATAAGAACTTTGATGCCTAACCAGTTCCCTGTAATGGTAGTCTCACTTAACGGTCACTTTATTTTATTTTTATTTTTTAGAAATGGCCTTTGTTACTTTCCTGAAGTACATATGGCATTTTTTTGTTTTAAGTGTGCTGTCAGGTAGTTGACATTAGAGATCTTTAGGGAAGTATTTTTGAGTAGGTTTTTGAAGTTCCCCAATGCTAATTTCCAACTAAAGATGTCAAAGCAGTTCCGAGGCACGGACTCGGTTGTGTTCTTGTGTACTTTCTCTCTGTGATTGTACACACACAGAGACACACTCAGCTGAAGCTGTGGAAGTATGAGAAAGCATTTAAAGTGTTGACACTGATTAGTAACATGTAGCCAGTCTTTCATCAGCTTTGTGAAAACTGTTAAAGTGAGAAAATGAAACAGTATTGCATTTAACTGCCCAAGCTGAGTACCAGGCACAGCGCAAGTCACTTTGAATTGTGACTTTCATTCAATAACGCTTGTGAAGTGTGTTAAAATGGTGTTGTTTTTTTTTCGTATTTTTAGCGAGTGAAATTCTGGATGAATTAAGAAGTTTTATCATGGACTTAAATAAGGTCCAGATTAAAAGGCAACGTCCCATGGGGTGTAGGAACTTTGTGCCTCCAACACGCTTACTGGGCGAGAAAGACATTTGTATCAGTTGAGGTTAACAGGCACATTAAAGCACAGTTAGAAACGTTTTTATTGTGGAGACTTCCTCTGTTTGTTTTTTCTTTACTGTGCTTTACTCTGTGTTGAAGTGTGCATGTTAGTATCTTTCTTCTTGGTATCTGTCCTCTGTAGCTGTTTTTAGAGGCAAATGATTACGATCTCGTTTCGCTGTAGTTCTGGATCTGCAATGCTAAATGCCTTTATTGCAAGTAATAAAAGAAGCGGGTCTATAATCTTAGTTCATTTTCTACCTGGCCAAGGCCAGCTTGGGAGCCAGAGCAAAGGCTCTTCTGGAGACCTTCTCAGAATTTGTTAGTTGTGTTTCCAATCTTTTATGATACAATGAGTGGCATAATTTTCACTGATTCCCAGATTAATGTCCAGAAGAAGGGCATTAATTTATTAATTTAAAAATAGAAGTTGTTTTCTTCTGATACCCTGACTCCAGGTTTGTGTAATGTGGACAGTGTTAAAGTACAGTCATTCCTCTAAAGACGGCATTGGCCTAATTGACTTAAAATATTTGAGTATTTCCTATTGCTATCCCTTGCAGCTAATTGCAGCTGCGCTGATGAATGGCCATGGTGAGTGTTCACAGACTGGTGGTCAGAGCTGCAGGGAAGAAGACTGAGATGTGTTTTGAAACCATTGATACTGAAAGGAGCTTTGAAAGGCTAATGGTGAAGATGTTCTGGGTGTTCAGCTCTTTTGGCCTTGGAGGACCACACCTGCAGTTTATAAACTTAGAGAAGGCTAGTGTAAAAAAGGTGGAGCTTGTAAAATTCATATGAGCAGATAAATTGGAAGATAGATGTGCATGGGAAGTGCTGAATAAAAATTCACTGTACGAAGTGAATAAACAATTGGAAGTCTGTAGTTGGGTAAATAAAGCTTTTTTAATTCCCACAACAGAAATTCCTCTTGCTAATGCACACAGAAATAGCCCTGTGCTTGGATATCGCTTCTAGTATAAAACTTCTTGGAAGATGGCTTGGGAAAATTATTCCCTTCAGTTAAGCTTAGCAGCTCTTGGGCTAGGAGAAGACTGAAGACCTTTGGTCTAGTCCTCTGTCCTGTGAGAGGTCTGCGAGGGTTCTTTTGCTGCTGCTCTCAGACGGGATGGAAGTCCAAGGCCGCTCCGTTGGCTGCTTCCCTTCTTGTTCATATCTGTTATTTGTTAAATGTCAGCAGTATGTCAGCGGCTGTACGAATTCCCTTTTACTAGGAGGTGACTTACTTTACAGCTGCAGTTTGGCTGTGTGCCAGGTCCTTGGCTGGGACCAGGAAATACTTAATTTTTATTTTTACCTTGCCGCACCGTAACACCGATGTAGAACTCAGGGCAATGTATGGGCAACTGGTATGTCCGAGTTAGAAGTAATACTTTTTCCCACAGAGATCACAAAAAAACCCCAGCCAATATGACAGTCCCAGAGGAGAGAAAAGACTATAAGTCAGTGCTTAGTCTCAAAATCATTGTATCCTCTTGGACCAGCTTTTCCAGCCTCCAAGATGTGGTTCTTCCACCAAAGCTTTGCTGTGATTTGTTCTTACCGCATGTGAGTGGTTAATGCATGCTGTGCCACGATGCTCCAGTGCTGCCTCTGGGGCTCTGGGGGAAGGAGGACCTGCTTCACCTGGCAGGATGGTTGCTGAACATGGAGCCGTGTTAAAAGACATCTTCATCCATGTGCTTTCACCCCTGAGGATTTCCTAGTTTGGGAAATGAAAAGGGGAGTTTGTGAGTATGTTGTTTGGCATGCGGTTTTCATAGGGACAGTTTTGCCCACCACCTTTGGCAGCACCCTTACAGCAACCTAACGGGACTCTGGGCTCACACAAAGGTTCCTCGTGGATCATTTTCTGTCTGGTAAGATGTATTTCCTAAAATGACTTTACTAGAGCTATCCAAAACAAGAAAGTTCCTTTGTGTGTCCCTGGAAGTCTGTATCTTTGAGGTAGAGAAGTGGTGATTTTTCCACAACCCAGACAGTTACGTATGCTGCTGTAGTGAAAATATGGATTGTTTTCCCAAGCAAGATTCTTTTTCTGTGAATTAAACTGTTTGAAACGGAAGGCTTTATAAGTTTTGGGCATTCTTTCAGTTGCATTTAGAGGCAAAAAGCAGAAATGAAGAAAGAGGGTGATGGGAAGATATGCACAAGAGAAATTATTATTTTTAATGAGATTCTTGATCAGTGATGTTGGCTTTCTTACCATGAGTGGCATGCAGTTTGTTACAGAGTTTCTGGGGAGTGATGTCATGATTTGATTGATCCTAGAGAAAACGTAGAGGGACTCTTTTCCCAGGAGACTTAGCAATTTCAGTCCGAGACAACGACAGTGAAGCCAGTGGAGTATTCTGACTTTGTGACAATATTGGTAGTAACAGCTGAAGCTCAGATTTCTGTGTGAAGCAGCTTTACAGGTGAAGAAACAAATTCAGCTCCGTTGCAAATTGTCTGACAGCATGATAGGACCAAAGTGGCAATTGGGAAATGTGGGTTGCCTTTGGGCAAGCAAATCTGTTCCTAATTCAAAAAAGCATAGAAACCTGTAATTAAGTGCAGTCATCTGAGTGGTCCTGTTGGGCATGGACTTCGATTATTAGACTATTTCAGCTGGATTTTTGATTGATCAGTTCCATTATTTGTGTGTTTCTGTTCCATTCTCTGTGAAATGAGCATAAGGGACACCAAAAAGCAGCGTAAGTGCAGACAGTGTGAATTAGATGAAATGTAGATATCTAACTTGCAATTGCAATTCTGCAAACAATTTGACTCCTAAGATCCCTAACGGTGTCTTGGTGTCTTATTATTTATCTTTTATTTATTTATATGAACAGGAGTGGGGGGAAAAGGCTTTGTGTCCAGATGGGTTGTTCTAGCACAAAGGGACAAAGAGGGGGAGCTGAGATTCGGAGCCAGAGTGTTTGTTTTTGGGGAACCAGGCAGTCGGGATCCTGGTGTCTGACCCCACGTCTCACCTCCAACCAGGAGTCCAAAGTATTCAAGGAATCAGTTCTAGGGGTGGGTGGGAAATCTACCTCAAAGAAATGTGCTGAAAATATTAATCATCCACCCAGTGCATTACAATAACATCTTACAAACATGACCAAATGATACTGAAATTCCTAGTAAAGGATTATAGTATAAATTTTGGTACATTAAGCCATGGCCTGCTTAGAGGGGCTCCGTCCTTTGCGGTGTTTCAGACAGCACGGGAGCAGGGCTTGTTTTGACCCTGTAGGTGGAAACCTCAGCAGGATCTTGAGTTTAGTGGCAGAGAAAGGCTCCCATTATAAATAAAGCAAGAGGAGGTGCTGAGCTGGTCATCCTGTTTCTAGGTAGGCTGAGCCCAATTTTTAGCCTAGCTGTTACATTATGTGATTACCTTAACTAGTCTGACTTTTGTTCGGTGCTCAGTTCTCGCCGGGGAAGTAAAATTTTATGCCTTTTACAACCTGTCAGCTACGCCCATTTCTTTTTAATTCTTCTCTCAACGTCTCTTTTGAACTAACAAGAGGCTTAAAGCCTTTACTTATAAAGCAATTCCCCCAAGAAGTTTGTTGAGGTTTTGCTTTTTCCTAGCAATCTGGCACTATTTTTCAACTTAGCCTTTAAATTAGGAATGGTCTTTTTACTATGTATGCTATATATAACGCTCAGTAACTTAGACCACCAAGTACTGTTAAAAGTCTGCCTGTGTGTAGTCCTTTCTTTCTTGACAGTTTCTTTACATGTATTAAGCAACCACTGGATTTAGAAGAGAAGCACCTGGCCTGCAGCTCCTGCAGCACAGAGTTTGGTCGTGCTCCTTCTTCCCACTCTGTACCGGTGACTGCCGAGTTCTTTGCTGTACAGTCGTGGCTCCAACAGGAAAGGTGAAAAAATAACAAGTATCTGAAAGCACAGAGGAAAGTAATGTTTCTGTGAGAAAAGAGGGAGTCTTCTTGCGTTCCTGAAACAACAGGGCTGTCCTGCTTCAGGCCGAGAGAGAGCAAAGCTGCAGTCCCCGGGGGGTAGAGGTGCCTCCCAGCAGGCTCGCGTGAGCTTCCAGGTGCGCTACGTCCCTCTTGGTGGGTGTTTCCTCTCATTTTGTTATGGATTCTGATGGTCTTTAGATGTCTTCCTCCCTGACTTGCTAATTCCTCGCTTAGGGAGTAGAGGTGTTTCCAGCTCCTGCTCTAGGAGTCCAAGTCTTAGAAGTCAGCTATTGCCGTACAATGTCCAAGGGATTTGGTGGTGTTGTCAGGAGTGG